GGTTTGGACAGACGTTAAATCTGGTCTAAAAGATTGACATAAATGTTTGTTCTGTAGCAGCAGCCGAGTGAGTGATGAAATATAAAAGTACCAGAGGAACTCACTCGGCCACTTCACTTCTTCAGGGTTGTTTTCAGCGTTGACTCCTTTTACACCTGCATCCACACGAACATCAGCCGCAGTGATTCAAGAGGAGTTAAATTATGAATCAGTTCCCCGCGGTGGGACAAATAAAGGTTATATCGAAACGAGACGTCTTTAACTGTCTCAACAAAAACTTCACCAGTTCCCTGAGGGAAGAAGAAAATAGAACCTGAACCAAGTGAACCCTGGGCCACAGATCGACCTCTCCACCACCGCCGATTTCTGCTAAAGATCTTTTCCAGTAGATGTTGCTGCTGCTGAGACTAAAACTCTGAGTATGTTCTTTAATGTCCAGGTCCTGACTTTCTGTAATAGCTCTGTGCACCCCCTAGGGGCACACTGCCCACGTTGGGAGCTAGTGCATTATTGCAGAACAGAACAAGGCGAGGAAAGTGATCGTTCTCTCTCCGTCCAGTAAGTTCTTGGTTCTAACACAGTCAGGTTTGACAGAGGTCCTGCCACACTCACTGCGGGGTCGTGGCAGAAAAAGGGCGATTAGGACCAGGCACAGGTGGCAGGAGGGTGCTGAGGGTTGGGGGAACAGATGGCTGATCTGACATGAATCAGGGCGCTGACCTTTTCTCCCCTCAGTATACGAGTACAGGTCCACACCGGTGTTTAAGAGCGCGTACGTGGAGACGTCAGTGACGCACCGTCGTCACACTCCACAAACGACCTTTCTCTCTGTTACCGATTCCATTTTCCCAGCCGGTCCCTTCTATCCTGCACCACATCTACACGGGAGCACGTGATTAACAGTGTAGCACGGAGGCTAATGTTGTGGTAAACGATCTCCGTGTGAAGGCATGTAGGCCGCGGAGACCGCCGCCCGTCAGCCAGCCCTCGCCGCACCTCCACAGATGCATGCGGAATTACCTCGTCGCTAGGCAATTATTTGTGCTGTCCCGGCTTTGGAGTGATGTAAATTACTTTAAGTGCACTTTGCAGGGGCCGCCATCATGATAATGATGATGATGATTGTGGCTGCGCGCAGACACACATAAATATTCAGCTTTACCTTTAAAGAGAACGTCTGCATTCAGGAGGAGGCCTTTAGTTAAAAAAAAAGACACACTAAAAAAAGAAAAAGAAAGAAAATGAAAAAAAAAGCTCAAAACAAAGAGGCGAAGAGTAAAATGTGCCACTTTCTCCACCTAAGAATACTCTGACTTCCATTTGATCAAAGTACCATCGTTTCAGCTCCAGTTCCAAGCGAATACTTGTCATAAGTGAATATTGTGCATAATATAAAAATGTTCTTTTTCTATGAGCTTCTATTGTACCCTACCTGCCGAGCCAATGCACTGCTGCAGTGACTACTAAGCACCAGCAGGTGTCACTGGTGGCGTCCTCACATGTGCTTTATTTTTATGGCCACTTTTGTTACAGAAGCAGGTTAAGTAAACACACATGCGCACACAGGACAAAACAATGAGTTTACTGGTGGGGGGGGTGACACGGGGTGACACACAAACTGTATGAAAGGACCTCATAGGAAACTCACATGTTGTGCAGGACACACCAGCCACAGTGCGGGTCTCCAGAGCTGAGACACTCCCCGCAGGTTCCATACTGTTCACAGGACTCGATGGGAACCTGGGTGACCTGAAATCACAGGGAAATCCTGGTCATAAAAACAGGAACGTGTAAAGAAACTCAAAGTAAAAGTCCATTCTTAGTCCATTCAAAAAAAAGAAAAAAAATCGAAATCTAAAAATCACATTCAGCCACAAAATAAATCACACGACATCATTTGCCTCGACCCCGTCCGTCAGCAGGGGGCACGGGGAGGGGGCATCACAACTGGCAACTGTTGGCTTTAAGTAAAAGCAGTGAAGCAGCAGTGAAGCAGCTGGGATCAGTTGGTCGGAGAAAGCTGTTGCCATCTGTGTCCGTCAATGGGCTTTTGTTTTCACACCAGTCCACGGAGGTGAAGTGTGTGAAAACACACCTGTACTGACCAGAGGCTCCCCTCTGACATTTGCTGCTCACAGCTGTGTAATCTGAGTAATTAGCTCCTTTGAATGACACTGATATGATGAAGAGTAGAGTAGAGCAGCAGAGCTGAGTGATCCACTCTGGCCCAGAGCCCACGTCTATGAAACAGAGATTAAAACAAAACAAAACAAAACAAAATTCTGATGAAATCAGTTTGGAGCGACATCACTGTGAGCCTTAAATGTAATTAGAGAAGAGATTTCTTTCTGTTTCTGCAGGGAAGAAAAGTCTCAACATTTTCAGCAGAGAAATTTTGGAGCACGTTGACTGACGCTGACAGACTGTTTAAATCACATTATACCCTGTTTTAAATCACAGAACCACAGTCTCGCTGTGAAAGTGTGTAGGAGTGAAGAAGACAATATATGAAAGAAACGGCGGGAATATAAAAGTTTGTAGTTTTTTTTTTTTTTAGTCATTAAAAGTTTGATATTTTATATCTAAATTTATATCATTTTAAAAACACACTGTGGTGGACCTAAAGCCACTGGAGCCGACACTAAATTGTAGTCGTCTGGAGAAGAAAACTCTGGTATGTCTGCTGACTTCCTCTTCTCCTTCCTGCTGCTAGCTGAAGGGGTCGCCAGAGCGGATCATCTGTCTCGGAGCTCACCTTATTCCCCCGTCTCCTCTACTGTTACACCAACCTTCTCCATGTCCTCTTTTACAACATCCATGCATCTCTCTGGGGTCTTCCTCCTTCCCTCCCTCCTGGCAGCTCCTTCTCCAACACTCTCTGTCCCATATATCCAGTTAACAGCTAACTCCACCTCACATCTCCAACTTTAGCTCCAACCTGCACAACCTCATCTGTTTCCCATTAAACAGAACACGTCTATTGTGCCCGCTCTTCGCCTTCTTCTTCCTCCTCCTCTCCATCTCCATCCCTAACATCCACATCACTCCAACTGTGTCTCCAAACTCCTCCACCTGAACGGTCCTTCTGATTGGCTAATTTCTAATCCTGTCCTTGGTGGTCACTCCCAGTGGAAATCTCGTCATCGTCACGTCTTTTTGGACAGAGCCACCGTCTGGGGAAGCACACATCATAGCAGGTCTCACCGCTGTCTTATAAACCTGACTCTCTTCTCTGTCAAAATCCACTCTGTCTGCCTTGTTTGTCAAATGTAAACAAACGGAGCTGACTCTCAAATGTGTGACTCAACAGACGTCGTCCCAGCCTCACCCCCTCTGTCAGTGGAGTGTGTTCCTAAATCTAACTGTGTGTGTGTCTTCATGTCTGTCTGCGCCGTCACATGGTCCTCAGTCTGTTTGGTCTGAAGGATCTGGAGATCAGCGCGTGTGTGTGCAGACGTCTTAGAGGGAAGTCCCGTGGGGGGGGGGGGGGGGGCCCCCCCCCGGCCCCCGCCCCCCCCCCGGGGCGG